AAAAAAAAAGAAAACTGTGCTGAGAAGAGCAGTCAGGGACTTAGTCATAACCATTCGGGGTAACAGCCTCCATGGGATCTCACTTACCAGACTTCAGAGATTCTGTTCTCTCGACTTCATTGGCATCTTTGCCAACCCAAATAAAAATCTGAAAGACGGAACAATAATCATATGTAGTGTTTGGGGAGTACTCATTCGGCGCAAGCCCTCAGGAAAGTGCTTCTCACACACCATTCATTTATACTCTTCACCACAAGCCCCGGAGTTAAGGATGTGGACAAGGAGGTGAAGAGAACTTACACCACTTTCCCAGTGTTTTCCGTATTAGGAGACACCTAAATGGAGAGCCAGCCAGTTTGACTCCAGATTTCACATCCTGATATTCCGTGTTTATGTAGTATTTTCTAGTTTATAGACCTTCTCAAAACAACATATTGGCCATCTCTGTACCCACTCCTGGAGAATGTAAGGCAGCCATTATCTCCATTTTAGTATTATCCGGGGAGGAACAGGCTTAGTTTGTTTGTGGGGACCTCAGACTCCCTTTAGGAATAGTTGACTTAAGCCTATAGTTTTCACCTATAAAACCGTATCCTGTAACACTTTGGTAAAAGTGCTATAATGTTTAGTATTTAAATACTGAGGGTTTTTTTTTAACTGATGTAATTATATATTCCGTACATATTCTTCTTGTCAAATGTGTAGGTTGGGAACTTCAGTGCTGAAGCATTCTCTTGAATTACCTTATACTTAAATCACTTTAGAATAACTTGTTGGCAGAGAAATGTTGGTCAAATTAGTTTTGGTTGTATTCTAATTCATACTGAAAGTACTGAAACATTTGCTTGCAGGGCACAGAACAAACCATGACATCATGGTAATATAAATGAAAAAGGTGATTAAAAAAATAAAATGTAGTAAGGGAAATATTCTAAAGTATCCATGACTATAGAATTGACTACAAATGGAGAGAATTAAATTCTTCTGAATAAGGAAATGTCATTCTCATTTTAATTCTTAATACACAAAGGTGTTTTGACATGCGGTTTTAAATGTCGTATCTAGAGCAACCTGGGTGGTTCAGTCGGTTAAACGTCCAACTTTGGTTCAGGTCACAATCTCGCAGTTTGTGAGTGCAAGCCCCGTGTCGGGCTCTGTGCTGACAGCTCAAAGCCTGGAGCCTACTTCAGATTCTGTGTCTCCCTCTCCCTCTCTGTCCCTCCCCCTCTCATGGTCTGTCTCTGTCTCTCAAAACTAAATACACATTAACAAAAAAATTTAAAAAAATAAATTTCATATCTATAAATAAGTGATCCATTCACCTGGGGAGAATCTGTAGTTAGGTGACAAATTCAAATATGATTATTTCTAGACCAAGAATCTAAGGTGGAAAATAAACAAATGGCTTTAGCAATTAAGAACAGATCTGAACATAACAATTAGCAGGGTTCACTCTAAGACTAGGCCTAATTCAGATGCGGGTTTCATAATTGCTGTATACACTTTAATTCCTAATATATTTATTTTTCCCTTTCACTATTTAATCAGTTTACATAAAGGTTTAAAAAAAACCCCACAAAACCCAACTCTCAGATATGGCATGCCAAATCCCCATTCGTTGTCTCCCAAACAAAGATATATATAACAATAATGTATTTTACTGTGTAGATTCAAAACTATCCTGCATCTGTTTCTTCCCCAGGGGAAAGGTCCCCTATGACTTCATGTCAGATTTCAAGAAAACTTCTGAATCTCTCAGTCTTCCTCTTGGCATTGCACCTCCAATTTGTACCCACTAATGCATTTATTAGTTAAATGAAGAGATGAATGCATGAATAAGTTAGGAGTGAAATGAAAAATAGTAGTGGGTTTTTTTTTTTCTTTTCCTAAAACTATACAGCTACAGATGGTAGCCATAGAATTATTTCCACATTAGGAAATAAATTTGCTACAAGCACCAGTTTTACCTTTTGCCAGACTGTGTTGGGTCTTTTTCAAACACAGCCTAAATCCATAGGTCCATTTATTATTAGACTTGCCATTTTTCAAAGCTGGTTTTGTGAGTTCCCAGCTATAAGCACACTCTCTTCTTACCATCAAATATAGTTTTACCTGTTCCCAAGCATCCAGTAACATGACATCATCTTCTGCCAAATCATCCTGGGTAAACTCTCCTGGAACTTCTTCAATCTGAAATGTATGAAGAAACTTTATGATCCAACAGTAGAGCAGTAATTTTTCTAATATATAGGATATGAATGTATTGTATTCTTTTGGAGCAGCACAGAAATAAAGTTTGCTAGTTATTTTTTTTGTTTTGTTTTTTGGGGTAATAAAGATTATTTTTTTAATTTTTATTTTTTAATATGAAATTTATTGTCAAATTGGTTTCTATACAACACCCAGTGCTCATCCCAACAGGTGCCCTCCTCAATGCCCATCACCCACCCTCCCCTCCCTCCACCCCCCATCAACCTCAGTTTATTCTCAGTTTTTAAGAGTCTCTTATGGTTTGCCTCCCTCCCTCTTTAACTTTTTTCCCCCTTCTCCTCCCCCATGGTCTTCTGTTAAGTTTCTCAGGATTCACATAAGAGTGAAACCATATGGTATCTCTTTTTTCTGCATGACTTATTTCACTTAGCATAACACTCTCCAGTTCCATCAACATTGCTACAAAAGGCCATATTTCATTCTTTCTCATGGCCACGAACTATTCCATTGTGTATATAAACCAAAATTCTTCATCCATTCATCAGTTGATGGACATTTAGGCTCTTTCCATAATTTGGCTATTGTTGAAAGTGCTGCTATAAACATTGGGGTGCAAGTGCCCCTATGCATCAGCACTCCTTTATCCCTTGGGTAAATTCCTAGCAGTGCTATTGCTGGGTCATAGGGTAGATCTATTTTTAACTTTCTGAGGAACCTCCACCCTGTTTTCCAGAGCAGCTGCACCAGTTTGCATTCCCACCAACAGTGCAAGAGGGTTCCCGTTTCTCCACATCCTCTCCAGCATCTATAGTCTCCTGATTTGTTCATTTTAGCCACTCTGACTGGCATGATGTGATGTGGGTAATAAAGATTTAAAAAAATTGTTTATCTGTTTACTCATATATCACAAACTGATGGAATCTTGTCTGGGAAGCACAGTACTTAATATCAACACTGCACCTGAATGTCCTAGGTAGGCTACAAACAGTCTGACCACAGCTCCATGACAAGCTCTATGACAGTCCTTGTGACAAGCTGCTTCACGGATTTCTGTCACCTTTGTAGTCCCTAAAGGTATTTGAGTTTATGGTGTAAGTATTAAGCTGTCTTTTATATTGTAGGCCAAGATTATTTTAATAAGATCAGTAGGTCTGGTCATTTTTTAAGTTGACAATTTTTGACAAGATGATACGACATAATATTCTGTAAGCAAAGTTTTATTATTATTATTTTAAATGTGTTAAATTCTGTTCTCTATAGTTAACATCAAAGGATACTCGGGAGGGTTAGTTTAACGCACCCACTACCAGTGGGCAGGTATTAATCTGAAGTTCACAAAGTTTAAAGGATTCTGGATAAAGAACTCTCCTGATATTTAGGAAGGTGTGGTAGATTGGACTCTAGTCCGTCTGCTGTGTGACTTTGTGGTACAGTCCAGTAAGTGGAGGTAACCTTGTCTTTGGCCAAGTCAATTAGTAAATTTGACTCATTAAGGGCCCTCTTGTACTCCTGGGCTGAGTCATGGGAAAAACAGGCATCAATGGAACCACAGCCCAAAGGAGAATCTCCCAGCTGGGCCCAGCCTAAGTAAAGCTGGCCCCAGGCAACTGGAGCTCTCTGAGCAGAATACACACTTGTCGTAATCTGATGAGATTCTGAGACTGTCATATAAAAAACAAACAAACAAAAACTATTTACCAAAAGCAAAAAGTTAGTTTATATTGTTCTTACAGAATTTTTACCAATCACATAATGATTCATAAAAGCAAAAACCTAAAATATCATTTACTCCATGTCAGGCACTATTCTCATCCTTTATATGCAAGAACTGATTTAATATTCACAACAACACTATATAGTAGATACTAGGATTATCCCCATTTTATAGATGAGAAAACTACAGCACAGAGAAGGTAAATAACCAGCCTAAGGTCACACAGCCAGTAAGTAAGTGATACTGTACCTGCAGACTGGTTCTAAAACTTGTGCTTTTAAGCAACATGCTCTGCTATTTTATGCAAACCTAGTCTAAAGCCAGCTTTCAGCTTGTGATAAGATCAAAAACTTGTTAGTGACACTACTTTTCCTTAAATTGTGAAGAGAATAGCCAGAGTTCCAAAAATCAAACAAGAAAATGAGCAGGTGTAGAGAAAAAGTATATTTCCTTTAAATATGTTCATGACCAAAAAAAACCCCACAAAAACTAATAGATTTTTTCAAGACTGACTGAGAACAAAGCCTAGATATTATTTTTGTAAAATATATCTTCATTTAATTTTAGCAATGTGAGCAAACCATACTAAGAAATTATAGAAGCATTAGTTGAATAAGAAGTTAGTTGGATGCCACATAAAATTAACAGTCAAAAGAGTAAAATAGATTTTTTTCTAACAAGTTTCTAAAATACAGGGATTTCCTAGAAAGTAGGTGAGCAACTATGGTGCCCAACAGCCAAATATTTATCAAAACTCTAATTTTTAATTTAAACCTTTATTTTTTTTT